TTAATACTAACAGCTATAGAACTAATTATAGAACAGATCAAGCATATCTAGCACTATAGTTAAAACCAGGTAGCAACCCTCCTCTCCCTTAATATCTTAGGAGCCTTTAACAATATCTCCTATAAAAGGCTCCTATATATACTTAAACAGAAAGCTATACTAAACTAGATAGTCCAATTCATCTAGTCCTTCCTATAGGAAAGATCAATATAGCTTATTCTAAGCAAATTCAAATCAGACCTAATGCTAACTAAAAAGGGAATCCCCTAAGGATTAATACTCTCCCTAATCCTCTTCCTTATCTTTATAGTAGACCTACTCCCACTCCTAGAATTAAAAATCACATTAGCATTAGGGTTTATAGATAATACGAACACCCTAGCCTAGTCTAAGACAATAGAAACTAACTATAAGATCCTAGAAGAGAAGCACTAGGAGTATAAAAAATAGGCAAGGAGGTACGGAGCAAAATTCGCCTTAGAAAAGTACTAGCTTATCCACTTTAGTAAGGCTAAATCAACCTATAATATAAAGCAATCAATTACTATCTAAGGCTTTGAAACCCAACTATCAGTAGAGCTTAGGGTACTAGGGATCTAGCTAGATCTAAAACTGAATTAGGGACTATAAGTAAAGAAGGCAAAGTAGAGGGCAGATGCTAATATACAATCCATTAATAGGCTTATAGCCTCTATATAGGGGGCTACATTCGAGAAAGCTAAAATTATATACAAAGCAATTATCAAACTAGTAATGCTATATAGAGCATAGATATAGACAGCCTAGGAGAAAATACTAAAGAGGATTGAACAACTAGTTAGCAGGTCCTAAACCTAAAGCCTAAAGAAAATCCTAGGAGTATACAAAACTATACTAATAAGGGTAGTAGAAATAGAATTAGGGATCCTACTAGTTAAACAATACTTTAAGGGACTAAGACACTAATATATAGTAAAGACAATAGAATACCTAGCCTAACAGACTATCTAAAAGGCACTAGACAAGATAAAAGCCTAGTATATTAGGACTAGGAGGCGAGACAGACTACAAATAACTCCCTAGAAAGTCAAAGACCTAGAGCAATATAGAGTCTTAATAAGAGAAATGCTAGAGAAAGAGCTTTAGGGACTAAATATAAGGCTAAAGGAAGACAAACTAAAGGGAGAGAAACAAAGCCTAGCAGAATTAATTGCTAGATACCTATAGGAGCAGGAATAGAACAAAACACAAGTTAGACTAGGAACCCTAAAGGCACTAATCAAATTTGGTTAATACAACTACTAGCTCTATAAGGACCTAAATAGGGCCGAGGTAAGCCTAGCTATCTAAATCAGATCTAAACACATTAGATTCAGATCTTACCTATTTAGAAGAAACGTCCTAGGAATTGAAAGTAGGGCTTACTAATATAGCTACTAATCTTAGAACCCTAAGTATATACTACTAGTCTGCCCTTAATAGTTAGAAGGCAGAAGTAATTAGAGACTAAAAGCAATAGAAAGGGAATACGATAAGCTAATCTAGAGCAAAGAAGACCTAAAGAGGATAGTAAAGTGGATTATTAAATAGGGATTTATATAACAATTCGCACTAGTAAGGGAAACTAAGGAGTAGATAAGAAGGAGGGAAGAAGAGGGGGAAAGAAGGGCAGGGCAGCAGGCAAGGTAGTTAGAGGGTAACAACTATAACACTAGTATACCCTAGAGGAAGGAGAACAAAGAAACAAGGAAGATCAATACTTATAAATAGGATAGGAGGGAGGTTTTTACTAACTAAGTTGGTTTCCTACCTAAAACAATATATAGAAACAGACCTGCATAGGCCGAAAGGCACTACAATAGGCGAATGAAATATCTATCTATCTATCTATCTATATAGAATTCTATAGAAATTGCTGATTTCTTTCTATAAGATACTATTTTTAGACATTAATCTACCGGGGGCACCCCCGGAAGTAACCGATTAAACTTAAAATTAGCAATTTCTTCTTAATAATTTAAAAAACAAGGCCGATTCTATCGGATTGGATTTCTTCTTTAGATATATAGAATTCTATAGAAATTGCTGATTTCTTTCTATAAGATACTATTTTTAGACATTAATCTACCGGAGGCACCCCCGGAAGTAACCGCTTAAACTTAAAATTAGCAATTTCTTCTTAATAATTTAAAAAACAAGGCCGATTCTGTCGGATTAGATTTCTTCTTTAGATATCTAGAATTCTATAGAAATTGCTAATTTCTTTCTATAAAATACTATTTTTAGACATTAATCTACCGGGGGCACCCCCGGAAGTAACCGCTTAAACTTAAAATTAGTAATTTCTTCTTAATAATTTAAAAAACAAGGCCGATTCTCTAGACTTCTGGATTAGATTTCTCCTTTTTAATAGAGTTAATAGTTTAATACTATTTAGTACTAGCTATAGAGAATTTCTTTTCTAGACGCGTCTATAAAAATGAAATCCAAAACCTTAAAAAGGTACCTGAGTACGTAAAGAAAATATTAAATATAATTTTAAAAACAATTATTTTAACCTTTATATATACTAGTATAGTACTACTACTAATAACTAATATTATATATTTAATATAGAATTATAAGATATACTATATATATTTATAATTAATAAATATAGTAGTATAATTGAAAAAGTAAAGGAAGTACCTTTAAAGTAACACAATTTTAATTTTATTTAATACACTAGAGTAAAGTTTTAGGATTTATATCTTTAATCTAAATAATTAATACTTTTAAATAATAGTATTAAATATAAAAGAATATAAATATCTTTAGATTTAGTATATAGTTTCTATTATAAGTATATTAATATATATTCTTTAAAATATAGTTAGACAATATAAGTTAAATAGGGTTTAAGATTACCCTAAACTAACGATAGTAGTTTTCTGTTATATACACACTTCTAGGCCTCCTAGATACTAAATATCTAAGCCTACATCGCGAAAGAACTCTGCCCAATCTAAAAGAAATATTAGTATAAGAAAATTATTATTTTATTAAACATACCTTCGTCGCTAATCTCGAGAGCAAGTTCGGGGGTATCGAGGCTCGCTATCTCGGTAATAGGAGCCGGAGTAGGCGCCGGGGGGGGGCCTCGAGAATACTAACTAAAAGATATTAGCTAAAGAAAGAAAAAAAAAACTACGTACTTCTCTCTTCTAACTCGCGAATCTTGTCCTTAAGACGACCGATAGTACGAATAAGGTTACGAATTCGTCCTTCCTTTGCCTCGTTCTCTTTTATAAAATGCCTAACGGCAAAATAGTCTCGGCGATAAAAACAAACCAAAGAAACAAATCCAAACGCAAACGAACTTTGTCGGGACATTACGGTCCCAAACCGACTTTGCAGCGTCGTGTCGGTAATCGTAGGCATTAAAGCCCGTCTCGGGAATAAGTATATTAGTGTCGTAAGGCATTGTAGTTCGAGAAACGTTCGTCTTTGTTCGTTAGGCTTTCGTCGAGTTGTCGCGGTTCTTCGAGGTCGTACGAGGTCGTACAAGGTTACACGGCAATTTTTAGACGCGAGGGGAAGTACAGATTCATGTCCCAAGCCTCGTATAGCTATACGAAAGCTATGCGTTACTATATAAAAGCTCTGAAAAGCTCTAAAAAGTATAATTAGTTATTCGGCGATTCTACGGCTATATATAGCGTCTTTATACTAAAAAAGGGTTTACTAGATAGATATTACTAAAACACTCTTATATCTTTAATTTTAGCTTAATCGGACTTATAATACCTAAGATATTAAAAAAACACTAAAACTTATTTAAGGTTAATTATGCATAATAGCTATTTTTTATAATATATTAGGAATTATTTTTCTCTTATCTAAAAGTATAGCCTTAATTCTATATTTTAGTATAGAATTATAATATTATAATTAGTATAGCTATCTAGTAATAAATTAAATAATATTTTTAATTTTTAAAGTATAACTAGTTATTCGGCGATTCTATAGCTATATATAGCGGTTTTATCCTTAAAAGTAATTTCATAATTAGATATTACTATAAAGTTTTTATATCTTTAATTTTAGCCTAATTAGACTTATAATAACTAAGATATTTAATAAAACACTAAAACTCAATTAAGGTTAATTATATATAATAGCTATTTTTATAATAAATTTAGAATAGTTTTCTTTGTATCTAAAAATAGAATTCTTTAGCTATATTTTAGTATAAAATTATAATATTATAATTAGTATAGCTATATAGTAATAAATTAAACAAGATTCTTTGGTTTTTGGGGTTATACCTAAGAACTGTTACTAACTAAGCTATACTAATATTTAATAATAGAAAGTTTTATCTAGAATAGCCGTATAGAAGTTTTAGGCTATATCTATTCTTTTAGCTTAATCGGCCCTATATTTACTAAGTTATAAAAGAAACACTTAAAATCTATTTAAGGTTATTTATATATGATAGCTATAGTTTATTAAGAATCTATAAATCTTTACTCCTTATCTTAAACTAAAACATTTAGACTTCTTTTTAATATTTTATTATAATATTATAAGTAGTATACTTATCTAGTAATAAATTAAATAAGATTTTTAAATCTAGTAAAGTACTATTATTAGGCTTTAATTATACCTTATAATCTAAAATACGTATATATAGGCTGTCTATTGTTAGAAGTCTTTAAATATAGCTATACTATTACTACTATGTCTTATACTCTATTATATATTAAATAATTAATATTAGATAATAGATTCTCTTTAACTATTATCTTTAGAACTATAACTATACTAAATTTAATAGGGATATCTAGTAATACTAGAACTTTTATACTATTACCGTTCTTAGTAGTAGTAATTACTATATTACTATATAGTAATAGAGTAATTACTATCACTATAGGGTTCTGAAAAAAAATAGTAATAGTAATTACTATTACTACGCCTCAAAATTTCTATAGTAATTACTATAGGGATAGTAATTACTACTTACTAAGGTTTGGACATCACTGTCTCATGCAAATCCAGCCTGGGCTCGTCTCGGCGCGGCCCGGCTTCCCGGCTTTCCCGCACACAACTCTTGCCTTGCCCTCGACCTTCTACAATACGATACAGCAGTACGGTATAGAAGATTTGACTATTCTTCTTCTCAGGCTTCCTATTACAGTGAGTGCTCAGTTTTGCGGGCGTGATACATTTCTGGTACGTGATTTGGCACTGATCTGATGTATTCTCGATCTATCTCTGCTCTGGGCACCTAGAGCAACTCAAGGAGCTTCGTCGAAAGAATTCAATTACCCTCCTCGTAGAAATTACAAAACCCATCGAGCGACGCGCCCAATACTCCCAAAAAACGCACGAACAACCTCCTCAAACCCGAAAGCTTTTTTTTCCCTTCCCTCCTTTTCCTCCTCCAAAACACCACTGGAAAAAGAACCTAAAACACCCACCCGACTCTCTCGAAAAACTCACGCTCAACCCTCTCCAACAACTCCCCAAACCCAACCCCGAAAAACCCCTTCCCTCCCTCTTCCTCCTCCTCCTCTTTCTCCTCCCTTTCCTTTTCCATCATCTCCTCCCTCCGTCTTTCGCACAAACCCTTCCGAAACCTCTCCCTCGACGTCTCAAAAAGCGTCTCATTCCCCCACAACATCTCCCTATCCCCATCGACACTTCTCCAAAACCCCCAAACCCCATCCTCTTTTCCCATCCCCTCTTCATCCTTCTCCCAAGGCAAATCAACCAAACACCAAACACCATCCCCACCCCCCATTTCATGAAACCCATACCCATCCAGTCCATTTTCCTCATCCTCCCAAACAACACACCTCTCCCCATTCGACTGCCTCTTAAACATCTCCCACTCGCGCAACCTCCCAAACTCCGTATTCCCCATCCTCAATCCCTTGCCGGACAACGGCATAGCGCCTTCGAATTGCGGTGCTTCGCAATTCCAGTCATCGCCAACAGGTTCCAGAGGCTCGGGGACTGGGAGCTCAAAAGGCGAAGAAGGCGAAGAGGGAGAAGAGGAGAGTGTGAGTTGCGAGAAGTATTGGAAAACCCAGTTTTTGTTGCGTTGGAGGGAGAGGTAGAGGGGACAGGTGATTGGTGGGTCGCTGGAAGTGGATTGGTTGTTGTTGCTGACGGAGATGGCTTTCCCCAAGTTCCAGAGGCAGGTGAGGAAGTCGGAGCTGAAAGGTGCGGGCTCGAGGTTGGGAGGGAAGGTGAGTTGGTGGGATGATGGGTTGCGAGTTCGGGCTTTGTCGTGGCGGTGGGCCCAGTGTTTGGAGGCGTAGAGACCGGCGCGGTAGCCGAGGGTGTGGAGGAGAGTGGGACCGTTGGAGGTGGGTTGGTTGAGGCGGTGGATGAAGTTGATCAATGAGTGCTGGGAGCAAAAATCAGTGTGATAGGTTGACGTGTGAGTGCTGTAGACTTACGAGAGCGACGAAATCAGTTTGCTCAGCCTTCACCCCTCTCATCAACCGGTCCAAGGTGTCGCGCATCTGCAGAGCGAAGAAGGACATGGCGGACATGCGTTGGTATGAGACAAGCGCATTGAGGTCGAGCCAGTCCACCCAGGCTTTGCTGCGATACAGGGCTTCAATGTCAGGGACGAACTTTGCCCGACATGGCGCTTCTGGGCCCTGGCGATGGCACTGCACGATGCGGAAGGCGATGACATCGAGAGACTCGGTCACCTTGGAGCGGTATGTGGTAGTCATGTTCCGAATGCGCTGATGCTGGTTGAAGAGGTCTGGTGAGCGGTCGAGGTAGGGTGAGAGTGCGTGGCGCTGACGATGGCCGAGTATCTGCGCCCGCTTCACCCAGTGTGAGTAGTCCGCAGGTTTGAGGACGAGGTACAGATGGCGGGCCAGGAAGCGGTACAGGCAGTGCAGACTGGACAGCAGTTGGCGGGCAGACTTGAATTGGAGTGTGCAGCGCTGTGTAGAGAGATTGTCGAGCCAGGAGAAGTCATCAAGTTCATCCGTCAGGGCTTGTGAGCGACGGGTATGGCGGAGAGCGCGAAAGGCTTCACAATTGCGCTGCTTCAGAGTGAAGGCGAAAGCAGCGCCGTAAGAAATATGTCCTGGGCGGACATGGCGGTAGGCTGGAAGGTCATCTTCGGCCGTAGTGGTGAAAGGGATGGGGTGGTAGATGTCCATCAGCCATGGGATAGAGTACCGAGGCGAGAATGTCGAGAGTTGGAGGAGGTGCTGATCGGCTTCTTGGGCCAGAGTGTCGTTGGTGACATGCCTCGGGTCGTTGGCGAAGGCGGGCCAGTGCCAGAGAGGGAGTGAAGCAGACGCGGGTGAAGCAGGCGAGGATGCAGATGCGGATGCGGATGCGGCAGCAATTGCTGCAACAACGCATGACAACAGGAGATGCGGGAACATTTCCGGAAGAGAGAGACGATGGCAGTGTAGGTATGAGTGTGATTGTGTATTGGAGCGTTACAAACAGAAGTGCGCGCAATGTTTTGGTCTTTGTGCGCAAGGGATGCGGATGGACGCATTCGGCCAACAATACGAACCTCGTGGGCGGGTGGCCTTGCTGCAGATGCGCAATCTGTCAGCGCTATAGTACAGCCAACATTTGTTGCGCAACAGAAAAGAACCCTTCTTTCGGCGCCTTTCTCACCGCGATGCTCAAGTGTTTGAGCGAGAGATGTCGCAGACAGCAAAGTACAATCAAGCGTCTTGCGCAATGGGTGGCTTGCGGGTGCGGCTTGCGGGCGCGGGTGTGGGGGCGGCTTTCGGCTTCGCCCGAGCTGGCTGCGGCTCTGCACTTGCGGCTCTGCACTTGCGGCTCTGCGGCTGCGGGCTTCCGGCTTTGGGCTTCCCGCTGTGAGCTGTGACTTCAGAGATTCGTGTTCGTGTCCGTGTTTGGATTTGCGTACGCGGTGAGCAAAAGGCGAAGCATGGCTGAGTACTGCTCCAGGCGCATGCCTCGCGCTGCTGGTTTGCGGTAAAAGGCATTCATGTAGCGCAAGGCCTGCAGCAGCCTGTGCAGCTTGTCCGGCCCATCGCTATCGTGGTTGTCACTCCCGCACGTTGCGTCGGCGATGCCACGAAACAGGTCATCGGCGTTCGCATCGGCGTCGTCGGAGGCGGCATCGTCGTATTCATGCTCGATGGAGAAAATGCTCATCTGCTGCGTGGCGTCGTCGGTGTTGCGCTGGATGATGCGCGGCCAAGCTGCCACCCACGCCCGCATCTCCTCGAGCGTCGGCGCCGACAAGCCGCACGCCGACTGGTTGCGGGGAAGCAACTCCATCCAGTGCTGAGCCCACACCATCTGGCGCAACACCTCCACCAACATCTGATTCCGCAATGGCGCGCGTGCGAGAGCGTAGTAGAGTCGAAGCAAAGGCTGCTCGCGGGCCACACTCCACTCACGAATCCACCATGCCAACTCGCCAATCTGTTCTTGCTCGCGCGACCGCTTGATGCGCCTCATCAGCTTCTCCGGACACACGGCTTCTAACCACCTCCACCAAAACGATGTCCATGACCGTAACGCCTGGTCCTGATCCAGCATGATACTAACCCGATCCAACAGCTCTCCCAGCGCCTCGCCGTATTCGACTGCCACCTCATGTCGATGCGACATGCCATCCACGAATCTCCGTCCGGTCACGATTGCTGCCGCTCCCTCGATGCGCCGCCACACCGCCGTACACACATACTCCAGCGGCTCTGCAGCACCCTCGCGACCGCTACCTTGCATTCCTCTCCGCCACTCATCCAACACCGTGTGCGACAGATTCAAGCGCTGCATCATGGCTGCCTCCGCCGCATCCTCGCGCGTGATCTGATCCCACGCCATGCTGTTCTGGACAGGCACAGACATCCATGATGAAGGCTTGGTCGCATTCAGGCTGAAGAGAACTGGTGGCGCGCGGAATCCGCTGTAGCACGCATCGTCGGCGCGCATGGACAATGCACGCCCAGCGATTGTTGCGGCGTAGCGCACTCCTGGCGAGCACTGCGCAAGAAAGAGCATCAGTGGTAGCATCCAGCGTCCCAATCGGCGTGCCGTGATTGCGTGGATTGGGTACAGCGTCCAGTAGCGTATGCCGTCGACCAGCGAAATCAGCCAGTCGCAGCCGCAGCCCACGCAATACCCCAGCTGAGCAATCCATTGACCCAGCCAGACAACCCACCGAAACAGGCAAACAGTTCCCTGACACAGTGCATGACACAGCGCGAGAGCGCATTGCCATACCGCGCGCAGCCATGCGAACCATCCTTCACCTGCTCGGCGGCGCGGGCGGTCTGGGACTCCGCCTCGGTCTGCTTGTATCGGTGGTGTGCTTGGGCGCAGCGCGCTTGGGCGGGGTCTGCTTGGGCGTGGTGTGCTTGGAGGTGGCGTGCGTGGAGGTGATGGCGGCAGAAGCAAAACATCTTCTGTCTTGACTTTGGGAGTCCAATCCATCCTGACGTCGCGGACCTCGACCTTCGCTGGTGGTCCGCCTTGGAAAAGGTTGTGAAAGTGTGACATGGTATGGAGTGATGGTGGTGGTGAGGAATGATCAGGAGAAAGCAGCGGCTCAGAGATGTACACACGCGCGAATGTTTTATACACACCCGGCTTTCTGTCCGCGCATGCACGCTTCCCAATTCGTCAAGTAAGTCGGCATTGAAGTCACGCCTCCCGAAGTCGACTTCATACACAATCGGGAATTTCCACACTTCCTGGATGCCGATCGGATCATGCTTTGCTGGTGACGATGACCTGCTTACAAGGAAGTTGGTGCACTACTTCCGTCGTTTGGCTTCACAATCCCCACCCTCCCAGCTGCTGTTGGTGTCTACTCTTGATTTCCGAAAGCAGACTGACAACCTGCGAATCATTCCCATCTCCATGCAACGCCAATCTTGTGAGGCGAGGCCCTTGAGGCACTTCTGGCTGTTGTCTGGAACCTATAGCGCCGCGCCAGTGTCTTTTCAGAATTCTCTCAACCTTGAGAATCATTGCCATTTATGCCGCGCGGCTTGTGAACGTCAGCGAAACTTTCATTCTCGAGATTTTCAACCCTCTCCTGCTTTCGGTTCGGCGCACTGCGAGGACGCACCTCCAACGGCCGACCTGTGTTCATCAAGGACTGGCATATGGTCTCGGATGTAGCTTGTGCCACAAACAAACATGTACTCTTACTCGGCCGGCTGCAGTGGGTGAATTGTTTCGGCTGCCGGGCATTCTGGAACCACAGAACGTCTTTGTTTCAAGCCAGACAAAGTGTTTCTGTCCTAGACATAATGGATTTTACGAGACACTTCTTCTTTCTCCCGATTCACGTCGAAGGGCATTCGTTCCTCCATCTTCGACCAAATACTCCCTCTCGCGTTTCTTTCCGCAAAAAAAAATCCGGATTTCCTCCCACTTCAACCAATACTCTCGTCAAACTACCTCAACCACCGCCTACCGACCGACCATGTCCTTCAAACACACCCTCGAACTCTACCTCGAACACCACACCGCCTACAACCCCACCTCTCGCCTCCTCATCCGCCTTACATCTTTGATAATCCTCATCTACACTACGTTCTTCACCTACTCCGACATCTGGCTCGTTCTCAACCTCCTCCACCTTACAGCCACAACATTCTGGTACCTCCACCACTTTTCTCCTCGCCTGAATATCTCCCAGCACATCGTCCTAGCATTCCTGCTCGTAAACTTCATCCTCCCATACACAATACTCTTTACCATATCTTCTGGTTCTGGCTCGGCTTCTCCTCCTTCTGTTGTGAGAGAGACTCCACCACCAATACTCACAAACCTTTCATCCCTCCACTCCCTCACCAGCTCCCAAATTCAGTACAAAGATTCTGTTCTCGCGGATTCGATTCGTGGGATTGAAGGGTTGTGGTGCAAATCTGTGACTGCGGTTTGTCAGCTCTCGACATCAACATCAAACTCAGAGGGAAAGACGGACGAGAGGGATAAGAAGAAGAGGTGGGAGAAGTTTTTGCAGGAGTGGAAAATGAATGCCACGAGGGAGGTTCGGTATCGAGAGATATTGGGGGGGTCGAAGTATGCTGTTCTCGAAGCTGAAGAGGATAGGAGAGGTGGGTTGTGGTGTGATGCTGACATCTTTTGTCGACAACGAGAACTTCAAACCATGAAGAGGGAGGAAGAGGCGCAATTGGCAGAGATTTTTTACGAGCTCGCACAAATGTTGAACGAGATGAGGTGGGAGATGATTTTCCTTGTTACTCAACACAATGCGGGATTGCAAGAGACGAGAAAGGTTTATGAGGGGTGGGTTGGGTGGGTGGAGGAGATTTTGGGGGAGGTTGGAAGCAAGAAGAAAGAGGATGAGGAGGGAGAGGGATGGAAGAGGTGGAGTCCTTTTGTGAGAGTTGTTTGGGAGGGGAGGAAGAGGATAAAGATCTCCCATCAAGACGACGATGACACGACGACGATGAACAATTCATCTTTCACCAACGACGAGAATTTCTGGACAATGAATCCCGACCTCCTCATCCGCGCCACATTTCAACGTTTTCCACGCATTTTCGAACTCAAAGAACAAATCCTCTCTTTTTCCCTCCCGCCGCCAACCTCCTCCTCCTCTACACCTCATCCTAACGACTACGACATATACCTCTCCACCCTCCTCTCCCATATCTTCGGAAACTTGACTTCCTCCAAAACATGGGAGGCTTGGAATCATGCGGCGAAAAAAAGTGAAGAGATTTTCAAGGCGGCCGAGGAGATAGGGAATCTTTGGAGAGACGAAAAAAAGAGGGATGTGGATGGGATAAAGAGGGATTGGGTTTGGTGGATGGGGGCGCTGGAGGGGGGGATGATTGGGAGGATCGGGATCTGAGGGGAGTTGAGTTTTAGGGAAATCTAGTAGGGTTGGGATAGATGGGAAGAAGGGTGATGAGATTTGGAAGACGGTAGAGGGGTTTGAGAGGTTAGTGGTTGTTGTGGATGAGGATAAGGATGAGGATGGTGCGAGGATGTCGTAAGAAGAAATTGGGTTTAGTGGAAAGGCGCGGTAGAGAATACGGGCATTGGGGTGGGACTTTTCGAACAAGGGAGCGCAAGATGAACATAATCAATGCAAGCAGGGTATTGTTCAAGCCAAGGCTTTGAAGAAGAAGGACCTTCAGGACACCCGTCCTGCTTGTCGCGGGTGGTCTGTCTTCGGATGCTGAAAATTTGTTTTTGTTCTCGAGAGGAAATCCAAGACTTTCGTACGTTTGTTTGAAATGATTGCCGTTAGGAAAGCATTGAGACCCGCGAGAACGATAGAAAGACAGCCTCGTGGACTTTGTGTGTCAAGTTTCTGGGTTAGTGATGTATTGCAGCATCTGAGGGCAGACAGTCGTCGGCTTGGTTAGGCTTCTTCTCGGTCTTAGAAACTAGGAAGTGTTGTGGACCACTGTCGCGTTCCAAGACTGGCAGCTTGCAATGTATTTGTTTTGATTACTAATCGTATATATATATCAATTACCGAGGCTAGTAAAATTGGATAGCTAAAGGCTCTTAGACTCTACAACTATAGGCCTAGGTATCTTTATATTATATATAATGTAGCTATTTATAAGGCTCTAGGAATACGATACTAGTTTTAGAGAATATTATTATTTTAGTTTCTATATATATATATATATATGCCCTAGTTTATTAAGGAAACCTTACTAGTCTTACAATTCTTAATTGTAGTTATACTTTTTTAAGTTATATAGTAGTTTGTTCTAGCTATAGTATATAGTTTCGTAGGGCTTAGTATAAGTACTAGTATCTAAGTAGTAGTTTGCTACCGTAACTAGTCTAGATGCGCGCTATTAATTCCTTTAGACTCTTAGTTAGTAGGCTTTAAATATTTAGTTAAAAATTAAAAATATCTATAGCAAATACTAAGTACTACTTAGCTAATTGCTATAGTAAGAGAGAATAGGACTTTAGCTATATACTAAAATAGCGATTTAGACTTTAGTAGTAAATTTGCTAGTAGTAAAAGTTATTAACCTTAGCTTAAGATATATAAATAAATCTTAATTATTCAGGCTATAAATAGAACATATACTAAAAGAATAGATATACTAAAGTTTAGTAGTAGCTAGTCCCCTAATAAATTATAAAGTTTAAAGTATATAATACTAAACTGCTAGCTTTTAGGTGGAGATAGGTCAACTAGTAAGTTTATTAGTAGGTTGATTAACAGTTCGATTAATAGTTCGATTAACAGTTCGATTAATAGTTCGATTAATAGTTCGATTAATAGTTCGATTAATAGTTCGATTAATAGTTCGATTAATAGTTTAATTAATAGTTCGATTAACAGTTCGATTAGTAGTAGTTCGATTAGTAGTTCGATTAATAGTTTGATTAATAGTTTGATTACTAGTTTGATTAGCAGTTGGATTAGTAGTTCTATTAGTAGTTCGATTAGTAGTTTAATTACTAGCAATAGTTTAATTTCAAATTCAATTAGTAGTTCAATTAGTAGTTTTATTAGTAGTTTAACTAGTAGTTTTATTAGTAGTCTAACTAGTAGTTTTATTAGTAGTTTTATTAGAAATTTTATTAGCCGTTCAATTAAAGATTTAATTAATAGTTTAATTAGTACTTCGATTACTAGTCTTAGTCTAACGGAAGTTTTAACTAGTGTTTTGTTAGTAGCTAGTCCCCCGATAAATTATATAATTTAAAGTATATAGTACTAAATTACTAACTTCTAAATAGAGATAGGTTGATTAGTAGGTTGATTATTAGGTCGATTAGTAGATCGATTAGTAGTTTGATTAGTTGTTTAGCTAGCAGTTCGATTAGCAGTTTAATTACTACTAATTTCCTAGTAACGTTTTAATTTAAAATCTCGTTAGTATTTTAATTAGTAGTTTAACTAGTAGCTTAACTTGTAGTTTAATTAGTCGTTTTATTAGTAATTTCAAAAATAGCTTAATTAACTATTTAATTAATAGTTTAATTAGCAGTTCGATTGCTAGTTTCAGCTTAACGAAAATTTTAATTAGTATATTATTAGTAGTTTCTTTAATAGTTTTACTAGTAGCTTTATTAATAGTTTTGTTTCTAGTTTAGTTAGTAGTCTTAGTACTTTAATTAGTAGTCCTATTCGTAGGTTAGCTCGTAGTCTTAGTAGTTTTACTAGTAGTTTATTAGTAGTTTTGTTAACAGTTTTATTAGCAATTTTATTAATAGTCCTATTAGTAGTTTTACTAATAGTTTTACTATTAGTGCCATTTGAGTTATTAGTTTTATTATCAGTTTTATTATTAGTTTTATTATTAGTTTTATTATTAGTTCTATTATAAGGTTTACTAATAGTTTAGCTAATAGTTTATCTAATAGTCTATCTAACAGTTTACCTAATAGTCTAATTAATAGGTTTGTTAATAGTTTTCTTAATACCTAGTCCTACTAGTAGTTGCCTACTAGTATCCCTACTAATAGCCTAATTAGTCTAAAGTTACTAGTAGTATAGGCTTCGTATTTAGTAGGATATAGCTATATCTAGGTCTTTAGTATACGTTAGGCTCCTACTAAATTTTTATTAGCGTATTACGCTTATATCCGGGGTTCGTTAAGCGCTTTCGATTTACGTTCTACGCTAAAATCCGGGATAAGTTAAACTTCCCTTTAATCTTTAATTAAATATTACTTCTACTAAAATTCTTAGCTAATTATTTCGGTCTTAGCGGATAACTTAGATTTTCGCGGGCGGTAGGCGCGGTATCTAGATTAGTAGCTACGGTACTAATTATTTCGGTATTAGCGGACAACTTAGATTTTAATACTAGCTAGCACTAGCTAATAGTCCGAGCTAATACTAGCTAATACTAGCTAATACTAGCTAATACTAGCTAATACTAGCTAATACTAGCTAACACTAGCTAATACCTACGCTAAAATCCGGGGCAAGTCAAATTTCCCTTTAATATTTGTTTCGATTGACGTTCTATACTAAAATCCGGGGTAAGTTGAATTCTATATCAACTTTGATAGTACAATTGGCTCTATAAAAATTCTTAGCTAATTATTCGGGTCTTAGCGGACAACTTAGAATTTCGCGCGCGAGGGCGCGGTCCTTAGATTAGTAGCAAGCTGCTAATAAAGGATAGCAGAGCGCTAGGAAGATGTCGTAACTTATAAGGATCTCGTTAAAGCTCGATAAAACTTTTAATTATATATGTTTAACTAGAGGTAGACAGACCTATTCTCGACTACCTTCTAGTATAGCGCTACCTACTTTTATACGCTACGTTAATAGCGATGTTCTGTTAAGAACCGCACTAGATACGTAAGGCCTTAATAGGTTAGACTATAAATCTAATTCGAGACGGCTTAGGCGTCAATTTTAGTAAGGGTAATCTATATCTCCTATAGTCCTACTACCGACACTTGTTACTAACACACCGTATAGCTACAGTATCTACCTAATTACGACGCCGTAGTAAGCCTGCATCCCGCCTATATTAGCCTTGTAGGCGAGGAATTTATATAGGGCTAATTAGGAAAGTGTCCTAAAATTAGAAGTCTAGTCGAAACTAGATAAAAGTTAACGGTACGTAGTTCTGTATCCTATAAAGCTAAATTGATGTAGTTTCTCGGGCGCTGTATCCTTTTAGACACTCTACTTAATGCATATACTCTTTCTATGCTAGTGTTCTACTATAAGCTACATTAGATCCCTTAGCCGTAGTTTGCTGCCTTAATAGGTTGTAAGAGGGATCTTATTGGGCACATCTTAGGCGCCTGTAATGGCTTCCTTTCCTCTTAAACTCCCCTCTAATGCCGATGTTCGGCTAGAAACGGCACCGGATTAGCGAGGTTTAGCCTGCTGTCTTGATAGGCCGGAGCAGGCGGGGATCTGAAAGCTTAGAGGCAGCTCACGCGCTTGTAGCGGTTTCTTTTCCCTTTACACGCTCCTTTGATGTCGATAGGCACCAGATCTATAGGACGTAGCTTCATGCCTTAGTGACTCTGGCCGGAGACAGCTTCAGCGCTCGCAGTGGCCCCTTTTCCTTTTAGGCGCTCCCTTAATGTCGATGTTCTAACTTGAACCGCACAACATCCGCGAGGCGTAGCTTGCTGTCTTAATAGGTTCAATAGGTTGGAAGAGGGATCTAATCTAATTGGCGACAGCCTCGTGCGAATGGACCTACCTCCTAAGCTGTTAGCGAGTGACAACTTAGGCGGTAAGAGCATAGCACAGAGCAGCCAGCGCACGATTGTACTTACCGCCCAAGCTATCACTCGCCAACCGCTTAGACAGCAGGAGCAACTTCATTTTTAGCAGTATATGGTACCTCGCAGACTAGGGCGCAAGTGCTACTCAATATTAAGCAATGTTCTGCTGGATTTGATATGAAGAATGCAAAATGCTCAATCGCGAGTTTGGAAAAGGACAAAAAGGAGATAGTGGACGTCTACGCTAAATTCCAGATTGCTGTCGAGGACCCTAATCTCCTAGCAAAATCTTGACCTAGAGGCGATGAGTGGAAAGCTGCGACACTATTCTCAATTCTGGCCCACTGCGATGGAACCACCGGTCCTCGTTCCCCCGAAGTTCGTCAGTTGTCACTGAAATCGTGACAACCAAGCGACGGGCGAATCCTTCCTCGCGAAGTTCGGTGAATGCAATCTAAGCGACAACCAATGACCTTCAGCAATACGAATGTGATGTTAAGAACACGCCGCACAGTGACACGAATCAGATCTTCAGCTGCCTGTGGATTTGAAAGACTCCAAGACCATTGGAGCACACAAGCTTGCTGTACAGGTGGAAATTTGGAAACAGTATCTCGCGAAATGAGGCCGTGTGATTCTTCAAAAGAGAGGGGAGGGAATGTGCAAGGCTAGGAGAAGGCATGCTCGCAGCAGAAGAGTGGTAGAGGACAGCGAGGAGGTATTGGCGTACAGGTCGTGGGGTGGGTATGCGACTCACGCATAGCTTCGTATTTGAGGGGAGGACATTCGCAACTGCATTGGCCTCATCCACCAGAGGTCAAAGACGGTGCGACTGAATAATGATGAATGGTGTGCAAACACGCTGCAGAAGTCTGGCAATCTCGGGCAGCAGGGACAGCCTGCAGGAAGCTGGATGGTGTGGACGGCAATGGACGGCGCGACACCAGGAACCCAGACTGAGGTGACGGGTGAAGCAGTGGCGGAAGGTGTTCATTGGAATCCTGCAGCCAGGAAAATGGAAGTTATGTGAGCTACGCTATATTTTGTGCCTAGCAAGACGGACTTGTCACTCTGCTCTTCTATCTCTGCATCCCCATCTTCAACAGCTTGTATAATCAGGAGACCATCGACTCCATCATCCATGCCGTCTGAGCCTGGCGTGATCTCGTCACCGTGATGGATATCGTAGGTGAATTGCACTATCAGGTCGTTGTCTCCGTCATGCACGTTGTCTGGACCTGGTATGAATGATCGTGATCGATATTGTAGGTCACTTGCACCTCTTTTCGGCAGCGGCGAAGTCGCGTAGCTTTGTCTCTGAAGATGGTCGTAAAGAGAAACCTCGAGGCGATTCGGGAACAGGAGGAAATCGGAGGAGGCGGTGGAGGTAGGCGACGACGGAGGGCACCGTGAGGTTGATGTTTAGGCTCCAATGACAGCCCGGCCTGTGTCGAGCTTGCAACACTTCGTCGGGGAAGCGTGCTTTGGCGTCTCGTGTCCCAGGTTCTGCCTCAGTCCTCGACCATTTCCGCTTCTGCTTCTTCAGATGCTCGTCATTGAATTCGTGGTTGACGTAGCGCATCTCCTTGTAACGTGTCCCGAAGACCTGCTGTTGCACTCCCATGCCCTTGACGACTTTCTTCGGTGATGGTGTTGCTCCCAATCTTGCCCGAGCCTTATTCAGCCGCTCCTTCACACATCTGTTGCAACTCCAATACTGCCGCGTTACGGGTTCCCCACATCGTGAGTTGATCGAGCGCCATAGTTGACGGCAGCCGCGTAAATTCCATGGCGTGTTGTTCTGTTCACTATCAGGCTCGGGGGTTGGGCGTGGCTTGGCGCTTGGTTGGTACGAAGTCCGACGGGTAGAAGTAAGCAAGCAAGCGCGTGGACGGCGTCAGGCTTGGAGGGGCGCAGCTTGGCGCTTGGTTGTCACGGACTCTGGAATAATACCCAACACCCGGCGGGTGGAAGCAAGCGGGCGCGCGGAAAGCTTGGCAGCCGGTTGTCCCGAAATCCGTGACAACTAAGCGCCAAGCCATGGACATCCGACGCAAGCGCGGGCTGATGGGGAGCTGCGTACCGGAAATCAGACGGCAGAACTCGGCGTGCAATCGAAAGGTAAAGGAGAGCGTGAATGGACAAGCAGTGAGTATCCTGATCAGGCATTGGCGCGCGAGACGAGTTGTGTGCGCACAGTACAAGGCGCATCATGGCGCTGATCAACCCGGCCGATGTAGACACTTACACCTACACCTTCTCATGAGCCGAGGGCAGAGACCAGTATCAGAACGACCTTACCAATTTGTAACAGCAGTACGAATCCAGCCAACACCACAGTACGGCTTGGGGAGAAGCTTACGAAGGGATCATCAACCACCCCAGAGGCTACGCATCGCACTGTCAAATCTGCTCGGCGCGTACAACGCCCCATTCGATGAGTTCCGATCTCCCCCCAACGCTTAGCGTACAAGATTCTCGTAGGACTACGACGACGTCGAAGATACACTTCGGGCCGTGGAAAGCACATCGTTTCGACAATGCAAGGCAAGAGATGGCAGCGGCGTGTGAAAAGGTGCAGGCTCATATGCTCGTTATTGTGGCGGGAGAGTATATGCAGCGTTAGACCAGCGAGGAAACTTTCGCGGCAGCGATTGAACAACTTGCGCCCAATGGCCGATTGCTCTCGTTTCAAGAACGCAAGGCAAGAGAAGAGATGGCAGCAGCGGGCGGGGAGGAACATGTTCATATGTTGGCCGATGTGGCGGGAGAGCACACACGGTGTCAGACCAGCGAGAATCCTGTCGCGGCACGATTGGACAACTGGTGCATAATGGCCGAGTTCTCATGAGAGCATCCTCTCGTTTCAACAATGCAATGTAAGAGATGGCGGCGGCGCGTGAAGAGGTGGGGGTTCATATGCTCGCCAATGTGGCGGAGATACTCTCGCGGCAGCGATTGACATTTTGGGCACGAAGGCCGAATTCTCGCGCCAGAATCATCGGCACGTGTCACTGTTCAACAAGCCTCCGCCACACACGAGCGCTTTGGCAGCGAAGCAGCGAGACCACCTCGATCATCACTTTGCGCTAGAACACCTGCAGCACCGGCAAATCATCAGCCAGCAAGCATCATCACCAGCCGGCAAGCATCACCAGCCGGCAAGCATCACCAGCCGGCAAGCATCACCAGCCGGCAAGCATCACCAGCCGGCAAGCATCACCAGCCGGCAAGCATCATCAGCCAGCAAGCATCATCAGCCAGCAAGCATCATCAGCCAGCAAGCATCATCAGCCAGCAAACATGACCAGGAGGTCTCAGTCGCACGCTTCTCGATCCCATCGAAACCGAAAGCGTGAGCTATATGGCTAGTAGCCAAGTCGTCTCGTGCCCCAGGTGCTCAAATTGCCTGATTGCCCTTCATGAAGCACGGAGCTCAGTTCCGATGTTGAGTTGATGGGCGACATTTGTCAAAATCCTGTTGGTAAGCTTTCCCATCACCATGCACGGAGCTGTCTGGACCTCAATACTGGTGATGAGTAGATAGCCGACGCCGATGAAAATCGTGTGGATTGGCTTGCCCATCACGATGCATGGAGCGGTCGCGACATTAATCCTGATGACGAGTGAATGAGTTGTTGGCCAACTTTTGTCAAGATCTTGTTGATGAGGTTGATAGTTAGCCGACCGACTTCCTCGCCGAATCGCGTGTACATCGCGAGGAGCGGTGACAATCATGGTCATTATTTCTTTTCCCGAGACACTGCAAGCATGAATCCACGCGCATTATGACACGACGTCAGAGGGAATCCTTCTCTCGAGTAATGGTGGAATGTGCATACAGGTGATCTCCTCCTATCTTGCCTACACTCTAGCGACATGGACATTATGTATCTACGCCAGATATATCGAGTCCATTCAATGTAAGCAACAAGAGTGCGCTACGCGTCACTGCAGTTCGCATTTGATATTCCCGCAAACTCTTTGCGGAGAAAGGGACGAGTAAAAAGCTGCCCGTAGCTCCAAGATCAGCCATTCTCACTATTGGCCCACAGGCTGTAGGGAATGGTGTTCGGTTTCACCGGTTCTGCATTCATTCCTCGCAAAGTTCGTGGGTTGTGACGATCTTAGTGACAACCAAGCGCCGCGCGATTCTGCCCTCGCGAAGGTTGGTTTTTATAATCTGAGCGATAAATCAAGCACCAAACCTCGAAATCCATTGCAACATATCTTTCCCGCGAAGTTTTCCGACAACTATGCTTCAGACCCTATTGTGATTGTACTCGGTTCTACCGGTTCTGCATTCATTCCTCGCGAATCTCGTTAGTTGTTACGATTTTAGTAACAACTAGGCTGTTGTGGATTAGTCAGCACTGCCAAGTACTAAGGCCTAATTTCCCAGTAATATATGTAGCCTCTAGCTTAGACAGAAATTTAGTTCCTTTCCTTATATAATTCTATAGTTAATTAATTAATAACTTGTTCTACTTAGCTTAATTATAACAGGTTATAAGCCCGGCGTATACGCTTACCTATCCTAACTAATACAGACGAATTGTTATTACAGAGATACTAGTTTAAAGCTAATTTTACTAGCTATAGATTAAGTAGTACCTCTAGAGTTAACTACCGAAATAGGGCTACCCTATACTTAGTACTAAATTAGATCTAACTAATAGTTAGTACCTATAAGCTAAGCGAGCTAAGAAAGAGCTTAGTAGTATAGCTAATACTAAAGAATCCGTAAAAAGTATTAAGGAAAATCGCATCCTTACGAGGACGACTAACTTTTTATTATAGAGATAGATCCTTTAGAAAGAGCTACTAAAGGAGAAAGTATATAGATATATACTTTATAACTTGAAATAGGCAAAGCTATACTATAAACCTCTTAGAACCGACTACGCTAATAATCCGGCTTTTAATAAAGCCCTAAGAGAGTTTATAGAGAAAGATAGTATTACTATAGGTATTCTAGTTAAGATAATCTTACTAGATCTAAGACCTAACTTTAGGAGCATAATTACCTAGAAGACTACTAAGGACTACTACTACGAGACTATAGCAGCTATATACTAACTAATTATTATAGTAGATATCTATAATACCCTAAAGGATTTTAGAATAGTTACTCTTAAGTAAGGAATATCTAATAGTACCCTTAAGTACTATAAAGACTTCTAAGTATAAGTATAGAAGTATAAAACAGCTACTAAGCAGTTTAAGAGAGTATATAGTATTAAGCCTAAGGATATTAAGATCCTAGATATAATAATTAGGATGCTCTTTATTAATAGTCTTTAGCACTATAAATAGCTTAGAAGCTAGAGGCATAATAATAAACTAGAAGGGACTAGCTAGACTCTCGAAGTAATAATTATATCCCTTAGGAAGGAAAAGCCTCTAAAGTTATAGAACTAGTAATAAGGCAAAGCCTTTATAGTTATCTCTAATATCGAGGTTAGGGATAACAATAAGCAGTATTAGCACTATAAGCATAAGCATACTAATGTAAAGTACTAGAAACAATATCCTAATAGAAAGCTATCTAATAACAAAGATAAGGATAAGTTAAAGAAAAAGTTAAAAGATAAGGATAAGTCTAAATTAAAAGATAAGGATAAATCTAAGTCTAAGAACAAGGCTGTAGCTACTAGAAAAGATAATAGCAGCGATAATAACGATAAGTATAAATCAGATTCTAACTTAGAAGGCTAGGCTTTAGGGATATATATCGCACTAACCCTAGCCTAAGCATCCTTTAATTAAAGTCTAACTCCTATTATATTAGTATCCCCTAAGAACCTAGATAAAGCAATCAAAATCTAGGATACTAGCATATTATACTATACATTTAATAATAAGGACTAGTTCTATAACCTTAGGTCCCTTAACTTACCTACTAAGTTTAGCCTTGCTTTAGGCAAAGGAAGCTATTGAATAATTAGGGACATTTACCTTAAATTCCTCTAGAAAGGCAAAACTATAAAGATAGTACTTAGAGAAGTGTTATACTTACCCAACTCTAAAATGAATCTAATCTTAGAAGAGAGGATCTGTAGGAAGACTAGATACTTCCTATATAGACTAACTATAACTATCTAAGGAAAAGATAGCAAGGTTATTAGAGAGGCTAAGATTAACAATATTATAATAGTCTTAAAGCATATTAGGATTGTTCCTCCTAAGAACTAGCTAGCTATAATCCTAGTAGTTACCCGACTAAAGGCAGATACTATTAGAGTGTATTAGAGACTTAGCTATATTAGAAGCAAGATACTAAATGCAACTAAAACCTACTAAGACTATCTTAGCATTAACTATATTAATACTACCGAATTAGGGCACTATAAAGCCTATAGGCTTATAAGGTCTTAGAGGATAGTCTTAAGGATTATAAGAAGGACTCTAGTTTAAGCTCTAGATAAAATCTATATTAATATTGTTAGACTAATTATACCTCTAGACATCTATAGGAACCGCTACTTGTACCTACTAACTTGTACAAAAACAAGGCATAGATAGGATAATAAGACCCTAGACCTAAAAAATAGTCCCGCTCTTATTAAGAAATAGATAAACTAGTAGTCCAATCAATTGAGCAAAAGACTAAAGATCTAGTTCTTAGACAATAGGGGCTAGTTTAATAATAAGCAACTTTAGAAGACTACTAAAATTAAGGGGTATAGGTAGGATTTCTTAAGCCCCTATATACCTAAACAAAATAGCATTATAGAGTTATCTAACAAGACTATCCTACCTAAGGCTAGGGCTATGCTTATTAATGTAGGTTTACTATAAGAGCTATAGAGCTATACTGTTAAGCACTCTATATACTTAACTAATAGACTAGCTAATCTAATAACTAAGGAAGTTCCTCTAGTCTATCTCGAAAGGGATTTAAAGCAAGGGGGAACCCTAGTAGATTTGTCTAGAGTTAGGAGATTCGGTTGCAAGGCATATAAGTATATTAGTAAAGAAGAGAGGCTAAGAGGCGCAAAGTTTATATCTAGAGCTCTAATCTACTAGAGTATTAGATTCTAGAATTACTCTTCGACAAACTACTTCCTCTAGAGGCCTTAGTTTAACTATAGTAAGGGACTATAGCAGTATAAGATTAAATTCTCCTATTATATTACCTTCTATAAAGATTAGACCTACGGGGATAAAGGTAGGAAAGTAAATCTAGCCCCTCCCTATATTTAAGTTATTAAACATTCTTAGTTAGGAATTAACCCTAGTAAATCTAGAGTAGCTTTAGGATTCCTACCTAATATTAAGCAAGCCTAGTATAACTAACGGCTAGTTAATAAACCTGTTCCTTCTAGAAGTACTAAAGAGCCGTTTTAAATACCCTCGGGGGAGCTAACGAATCCTTTAGGGGAGCTACTACCTTCGGGGGAGCTAATACCTCTTTAGAGGGAGCGAATTGATCTAGAAAGCCTAGCTAAAGAGACCCGGGAGCTACAGGCCCCTAATGCCCCTAATAATAAGGATATACTAATAATATACTAATCTAGCTAGTTAGTAGGCTAGAAGAGGCTAAGAGCCGCCTTACTACTAGTAGCCTAGGAAGTTGCAATAAGGCTAGTCGTATACCAACTAAACTAGTTAGCAGGATAGGGGAGGCTAAGAAGTACTTTACTACTAGTAGCTCTAGGAACTGTAATAAAGCTAAGGTACTTAGACCTTATAGATACACCTCCTATAATATCCTTAAGAGGTAGGCAGATAAGGAGACCTAACTATAGCAATATAGCTAGGGTCCTAAATGCTGCTCTTAGGAGATTTCTGAAGAAAAAGGCTAGGAAGCTAGGGGAGGGTAAGCTATCTATACTCTATAAAGCACTAAATAGTATAGATACTAAGCTTTAGAGGGAAGCTATTACTAAAGAACTTGAGTCTCTAGACAAAATAGGTACTCTTAAATAGATCTCTACTAAGGAACTCCTAAAAGGAAGAAAACTAATGTTAAGCAAATAGGTCTAGAAGATTAAGCGCTTGCCTAATAGTTCTGCTAAGAAGTTTAAGGCGAGATATATAGCTAAGGGGTTTACTTAGAGGAAAGGTATTAACTTCGAAGAAACCTTTGCTCTAACCCTAAGAGCTATAATAAGCAGATTCTGCTTAGGACTTTTAGCTACTTTTAGCTAGGTTAGATATTAGGTGGATATTAGAGCTGCATTTCTAGAACTGGATATTGGCAGACCTAACTATATAAACGCACCTAAGGGGTCGCATCTGATTAGAAAGGGCCTGGAGAAATTTCTATGTGTAATTATGCAGAAAGGCTTGTATGGTATAAAGCAGTTAGCTGCTTTGTGGTACTGTAATACTAAAGCTGTACTTAAGACCCTTAGTTTGTGTGAAACTAAGAGCGATGCCTGCCTCTTTATTAGAGAAGGGATTATAGTTATCCTTTATATTAATAACTTTTAGATCTTTAGCAAAACCTAAGCTAGGATTAATAAGCTAATTAAAGGACTTAGGAAAACGGTAAACCTATACTATTAAGGTTGTCTAGACAAACCTCTTCCTAGGACTTTATATTATTAAAGACAGTATAAGTCTTAAAATCTCCTAGAAGCACTACTCTCTAGAGAAGCTAAGAAAGCATAGTCTTAACTAATATAAGGGTATAAAGTACCTACTTAAGAAACTCCTAACTGCTTTCGAACTAGACTATAAGAAGGAGGACTACGAACTCTTTAATTAGATAATTAGGGAGCTATAGTATCTTTCTAACTAGACAAGACCTAATATTACTTATACTATTAACTACTTAGCTAGATTCCTATAAAACCCGGGGCTAGAGTATATTATAGTAGTAAGATATATTTAGAAATATATTGTAGGAACAGTTAATAAGTCCCTAGTATTTAAAAAGAGCAAGTCTAGAAAGGTTGACCTTAAGAGCTATCTTAAGGTCTACTTAGATTCTAACTTCGCTAGTAACCTAAAAACCTCGAGGTCTATATTAGGATTCCTACTCCTTATAGTAGGAGGACTAGTTCTCTAGTAATCCTAGCTTTAGAAAGAAGTTGTCTACTCTAGTACTAAAGCAGAGTATATAGCACTTACTAAAGCTATAAGGGAGTTAAAGTAGCTAAGGAACCTCTCTAAGGAAATTAGTAGCTTTACTAGGTTTAAGTTTGACTATATTAAAATTAACTATAACAACTAGTTAACTATCTACCTTATAAAGAATTATACTAACTCTAGTAGGTTAAGGTATATTTCCCTAAGGAACTATTACTATAGAGAGTAGTATAATAAAGGGAGAATTGATATTTAGTATATTCCTACTTATAAAGGGCTACGCCCTAGGTAGAAAGCGCTAGCCTTAGGTATTCGGCTTACGCGACTCTAACCTACTACTTAGCACTTAGCGTAT